CATTCGCGGATTTTGACCTTCATTTTTCTCATTTTCGATTTGCATTTGCGGATTTTGACCTCCATTTCTCATTTTCGATTTGCATTTGCGGATTTGGACCATTTTCCCATTTGGATTTGCATTTGCGTACTTGGACCAGCATTTGCGGATTTTGACCTTCATTTTCCCATTTTGGATTTGAATTTAAGATTTTGACCATTTTCCCATTTGGATTTGCGTACTTGCACGAGCATTTGCGGATTTTGACCTTGATTTTTCCCATTTGGATTTGCATTTGCGGATTTTGAGCTTCATTTTCTCATTTAAGATTTGCATTTGCGTATTTTGACCATTTTCCCCATTTGGATTTGCATTTGCGTACTTGGACCAGCATTTGCGGATTTTGACGTTAATTTTAACCATTTTGGATTTGCATTTGCGGATTTTGACCATTTTTCCATTTGGATTTGCATTTGAGTACTTGGACGATCATTTGCAGATTTTGACCTTCATTTTCCCATTTTGGATTTGCATTTGCGGATTTTGACTTTCATTTACACATTTAAGATTTGCATTTAAGATTTTGACCATTTTCCATTTGGATTTACATTTGCGTACTTGGACCAGCATTTGCAGATTTTGACCTTCATTTTCCCATTTTGGATTTGCATTTAAGATTTGCATTTGCCGATTTTGACCATTTTCCCATTTGGATTTGCATTTGCGTACTTGGACGAGCATTTGCCGATTTTGACCTTCATTTTCCCATTTTGGATTTGCATTTGCGGATTTTGACCTTCATTTTTCCCATTTGGATTTGCATTTGCGGATTTTGACCTTCATTTTCTCATTTAAGATTTGCATTTAAGATTTGCATTTGCCGATTTTGACCATTTTCCCATTTGGATTTGCGTACTTGGACCTTAATTTTTCCCATTTCGGATTTGCATTTGCGTATTTTGAGCTTCATTTTCTCATTTAAGATTTGCATTTGCGGATTTTGACCATTTTCCCATTTGGATTTGCATTTGCGTACTTGGACCAGCATTTGCGGATTTTTACCTTAATTTTAACCATTTTGGATTTGCATTTGCGTATTTGAGCTGCATCTGCGGATTTTCTTCGACATTTGCGTATTTGGATCTACTCATTTTGAACGGATGCAAGTCGTGTTTGGATTCTTTCGTGCCAGCATTTTGAAACTGCTCTTTCTGGGATCGTCTGAACCGGAAGAACGGCCAGTTAGGTGAGTTGTTACTTTCTTTACCTATTCAGACACCCAGAAACAAAGTGTGAGGGAGTAAATGACGCTAACATTGTAATTTGTCTGGTTTTCAGCAGAGTCTACCGGTTAATGTTGCTCGGTGGACCATGAGGAAAGTCAAATAAGATGACGAAAGAAATTGTCTTAAACTGATATCCTTTCTCTTGTAGCCTGAAATATTCCAGCCAGGCCATTTGCTTGGATATGGACTAATTCTAATTGGCACTCAGTTTTGGTAACCTTGACGCTCATCCTCACATGCCCACCAACAGCTTCTGCACGTTACGTTGAATTTTCAGGCATTGTGTGCACTTGGTTCAAATTCCGTATTACATGTAAAAAAAGGCAGTTGCAACAAAATTAAGTGTTATAAGTAAGAACTATAAAATTGTCCTTTTCTGGAAATAGGAAATCGGTCAAAACCTGAACTGCTTTAGTTCCCAAATTGTTTGTGATCCAAGTGATACTCTAGACTTGAAACATTCCTGTTCGGTTGGTTCTTATGTGCATGGACGAGGTTGGTGGTTGTGAGCAGGATGACGTCCCAAATTTCCTCAGCAATGGAGGTACACCTTGACGTGGTGCTGGGGCTTTTGCTAAGATGCCTCCCACAAAATCAAGTAAAGATAACACGTTAAGCTGTGGTCTACTACAAAGGAGGGGACGGTCTTGCAAGGATTGGACTGCTGAGGTATTCCCAACACTCGTTGGTGAAGGTTAGACATCTAAGTAATAAGATACGCCAAAAACAAGTAACTCAAGCATTTGGACTTGATTTTGAAAACACCCACTCATCGAGAGAGTACACACAACTCATGTGGTATTTGGTACATTTTAAACTTTATTCACTCACATATCGACACAGTAACCACTAGTTTACAAGATTTTCTTTCTGTACAACAACAATTAACAACAACTACACAATAATAACAAATGTTTATGTCATGAAAATTGATCATCAAGTTATTGTAAGCACATTTACGTCGTACATAATTTAGATACATTATTACAACATCTATAACATGCATTTTGGGGTAACGATACGTAGAAATTCCTCCTATATACCCAAACGCAAAGAGTTTAGATATAGTTGGATGTTCGTTTTTAAGCCATGTACAGTTCTTGGAATGTTCGAAGTATGCCTTTATGACGTTACATATCTACTACCTACAAAATCGCGACAGACTATCCATATATAGTTATACGCTAAAGGCAAGAAGCATGCACAAATGAAAAAAAAAGTTAAATTGTTCTGATATCTATGTATTATTAATGTATTCCAGGTCTCGTATGTATTGTCCGTGAATGGGTTGGTAAAGAAAGAATCGCACACTAATATTTGTAGCTACTCTTGTTAAATCGGTCCTTTGTGGATTGTTAAAGGTTGAATCCTGTCGTATATATAATATTTTATATGCATTAATCTTGTTGATAAAAAAACACAAACCCAGGCCCAAACGATAATTCCTTCAATAACCAAGATCTGCAAAGAAATGTTGCTTTTGAAATAAGCTTTCACAAAATACTTTCATAATAAATTCCTTTAACGTTCACTTTGACACTTAAACAATTTATATTAACCAAATATCACTCATATGTCAGTGCAGCGACTACATGCGAACATCATAATGTGATAATCATAATAGGTCTGCATGCGGCCAATAAGTGATAAATTGAAGTTTTTCAGCCTTATAAAAGCCAAAAAAGCAGTTCACATATCGCCATATTCAAATAAATTAACGTTCACACCGAACTTTTCAAAACGACTTCTTTCCAAAATGAACAATTTATGATGCTAAACTAATAGTAACATATTACGAACGTAATAATCACACAGTGACACACAGTGAGTTGTACCAGCAACTACATACTGTATGCCGATTATATATAATATCCAACTTACGTTTTAATGGTAAAACTTTAAAACATTCGGGGAGACTGAACAGATGTACAACAATAGCCTTAACCAATCACTGGCCCGGGCACACTCAACCAATCAGAACATAGGATTTCAACGAATTCATGTTTGAACTTTCTGACGTTACTGTTAATAGAAACACAAGAAAACAGCTACAAATTGTGCTTTCTTATCAATTTCAACTCGTAATATCTGCGTACGCTTTACATAATTATTCACGCCTACTTATAAAAAAAGAACAACTGTGAAACATATAGATATGCATTCACGATTATAATAACTTACTACACTCATTTTACTTCAATCACACAACTAGTACATCTTGAATTACACACGTATAATCCTCATTATGTATTGTATATTTCTTTGTGTGCATGTTGTATACTCCATATAACTATATAGCCATTCTGTTACAGGTGTCATATACAAAAGTCAAGTAGTTCCAATGAAATGTATGATTGCCCGGTCGCAAACAGTCATGGCTAAACGATATACATTTTCTTGTGTTTGCGGCTTTTCTCATAAGAATTTGAACCGGAGAAGATATGCAGCATCTTTCATGCTCCTTTTGAGTCCAGAAAATAGCTTTCTTTTTTACTGTACATTGTCAGATAGATAGATATATACTGGATATCACGACAACCAATAATCGGTAGGATGTATATATATATACATCGGTATGTGACAGTGCTGTTCCAACTTGTTCTATTGTCATCAATTGATATCTTTACTTTTTAATGTACATGTGACGCGTTCGTATGTGTGTGTGTGCATGTTTGTGTGTGCATGCGCGTGTATGTATGTGTTTGTGTATGCGCGTGTTTTGTCAGTGTGTTTGTGTGAGTGCGTGTGTGTTTGCATGTGCGTGTGTGTACATGTATGTGTGTGTTTGTATGCCTTTTATGCATGCATGCATTGTGAAACAAAATTTCGCCAGTGCATTTTAAAAGCATTTTGTCCAAACTGAATCGTTAAGTCAACAAAATCAATTGTTGGTGAAACTCAACCCTTTTCCGTATTTACAAATGGTTCCTCCCACTGAATGTGATTTGGCGTTATTTGTAGGGCTTCGATTTTTTATGAATGAGTTGATTTTTGATTGACAAGCATACGCGGTGGTTGAGCAAACTTAGTACCATTGTAGAGAAGGTGACAGGTCAACTGGTGATGGGCAAGCGCCATGGAATTCTGGGAAAAGGTCAAGCACTGCTGTAAACCGGAAGTGATTACCCCGGAAGTAGTTGGCCGATATGTTGGGACGGAATCTTTCCGTCGCTAAGCTCTTATATACTAGTATTTACATGCTCGTCAAATGTACTTCTTTCTTTTCGACATTTCATGCATTTTACACCTGACTATATCGTCATGATTCTTCTGTACACAAGTCGATTGTAAGCCTTTACATATATATATTCAAAGTCGGCATCAAAAGCGCCACTCAGTGTTCATTTTTATTCTTCACCGGTCTGTGTTTTTCTTTTTTTGACTGTTGAAAAATCTGAGTCCTCCCTCTCTGGGAGTCAAGTCACTGGAAAGCGTTCTTTGAACATCCGGGTACTCCGACATCCGGGTACTTATTCAACATCCGGGTACTTCTTGAACACCCGGGTACTTGAACATCCGGGTTTTCTCGTGACGTCACTGGAAAGATACTGGTCAGGTCCTGAGCTATCGCAGTACCACGCGCCTGTAAGGCGAATTCTCTCTTCCTCATCTGCGGTCACAGCCTAACAACTACATCATTCTTTCTTGTTTTCTTTTTACAACAGCGCAGAATATGTACATCCACAGTTTTCTTTCCTTCTTGTCGTTGTTGTTGGTTTCAGCGGTGGGTTTTGAGTTCAAGAGTTCGGTCATATATACATGTATATATGTATACTTATTTACAGCCGACTTTTTGAGCGAGCAGCTTGTCACAATACGGTCTCCATCTCCATCACTTCAGGGCCGCGAAGCGCGCTTCTCTCTGATTGTTCCTCCTCCTCTTCCTCCTCTTCTTCCACAACATCCTCCGCGCCTTCCTCCTGGATCACGACCCCGTTGACGTTGAAGGCCACTCTCTTCTCCCTCTTCCGGCACTTCTTGGTGATCTCACTGATCAAGTTGAGCGCCGCTCTCTTGGGGGAGCTTCCTCCCTGGGGTGGCCCCTCCTGTTGGATGTCGATCCCCTGGCTCAGGCCGTTTTCCAGGAACGAGTTGTTTTCCTGGGAACTGTGTTTCCGGGAATTGGTGGTGCAGACGGTCCTGACGGAGTGCGGCGGTTGTTGCGAGGGCGGCGCGCCGTTGCTGTGGGACTGGCTGACGCTGTAGTTCTGGGCTGTACTGCAGGTGAGGGGAGAGCACGTGGTACTGCGATAGCTCAGGTTCCTGCCCAGCTGCCACCGCTCCCACCGCTTCTGGAACTCCGCTCGCACCTAAAAAAATGCACGAAAATTGGTCAAATATTATTATCTATGACTGGTTTATTGAACTATCAAGAGGTGCAATACCGCAGAAGCCCTTGACAGGGGGGCTGAATTGCACCGATCTTTCACAAAAGTACGGCTACTGTAACTACTAGTGCACTAAAATCACAAAAGAATAATATCCTAAATAACTGATTTTGTGGACAGGGCAAATACCACACGCAAATACCACACGTATTCCAAAAGTTTTAAACTTCAGTTATACTTCACAATACGTAAAACCGCACATGTGACTTCTGAAACTCTTTTAGTGAACGTAAATCGAAAAGAACATGTTTTCAGCACCAAGGACGGAAATGCCGTCCAACTGGCAAGTGCATGTGCCTGCAGTACTGACACAATCCGATAGATGGCGCTAATAAGCAAGGCTGGGCAGTTGACAGCAAGTGACGACGAGCTGACATCTGCATAGTGAACTACATGACACGTGCCAAAGATAAACTCACCTCTCCGTTAAGGAAACAGTACAAGATGGCGACGAAGAAACCCTGAAAGCAAAAATCAGACATAAGTCACTCATTTAATCCTCTGTACGTATAGTATAGGTAAAGTATATCTTAAGACGTAGATGATAAAACAATAAAGATACTACAAACGATACATAGAAAATGAAATATATTTATACCTGAAACGAGTTGAAGAAAAGGTCGAAGTAAAGCCTGGCTTCCTTTGCCACCCCTTCCACGTTGTCAGGCATGCCCACAAACACGATGTAGTGGACTCCAAACAGCGGGATCAGAACCAGGGTCGACTTCGCCAGTTTCCTGGAGGTAGATAAATTCAAAATGTTTAGAGCACGTAGAACTTAGCAGAAAAAAAATACAAGAGGTAATTTGCGTAATCGAATATCTTAAGAATTAGACGGTACAGATTTGCTAAGATAAGGCACCATAGGAACCGTCTGTGACGAGGGGCGATACAAGTTTTCCATATGTGTGTGGGGGGATACGAAATTTCTGATATTTTGGACGATGCAAGATTTGTAAAAAGATATATACATTCTGTGAAGGGGGAGGATACAAACTAAGACAGGGGACGATATGAACTTACTGTGATGAGGGGAATAGAAGCTAAGTAACTTCAACTCATTACTAAAATCATGGACCGTAAGGCCACATGACAGAACATATTAATTGTGCATCTAGTTTATATGTGCTTAAAACGTGAACTTTTACAAAAGGCATTGTTAAACTCAAGCTCACCAGTTCACACCTCTCGGCCAGCGGCAGCAACAGAACCGCTTTCTCCTGGAAAAAAAGGGGGAAGAAGTTTTGAGACGGTGCCAAACCACACTGCACAGTAGACGATATCAGTTCGTTTATCTCAAAATCCACCTGCAACTTCCCCCCATCGCCCACTCCTTCCGCCTCCTCACAAGAGTGTTTCTTGTCACCCTGACAGATCGATATATCTTCCCCAGCTGTTTATGTTCTTTGAGTGAATTTTCCAAGATGGTCTCGGTCACTTTGAATCTTCCAAGAGGAAAACAAGCAAATCTATACCGATTTTATTTGTAAAATCTTGTCAAATAGTCTGTTTATTAGCGCTAGAATCATAATTTCTAAACGACTTGTGTATTTTCTCACTCCTAGCCCATCTATTCTCGTTTTAAAGAATCACCAAAGCGTCTCCAAACTAAACATCTTTCCTTCCTGTCGGTAAAACACACCATCAGATTTCCAAAATATAAAGCACTCTGTAGGTCAAAGGTTGGAGTCAGGACTACCAACCAAACGGCTCGGTATTCGTAGCACAAACAAAACTGACCTCAGAAGTAACCGCTTCACATTACTGTAACGGAGTGTTTAAAAAACAACACTACACAGGGCCCCATCTGTAATCTTGCAACGTTTTTAAATGCATTTTTATCCCAGTTTTACCATATATTTAGCACATTATATGTGGACTACGAAAAAATACCCAAATATTCACATATACCAAAGAAACACACATAAAAGAAACAGAATATAGATCAAGTACATGTATATATATATATATATAGATCAACAGAAGCTGATATCTGATCATAAATAACAAACAATTAGAATAAAAACAAATAATAAAACCCCAATACCCTATGAAAACAAATAAAGTCACGCTATAAAAACTTGCACGAAAATAGTCATCATCATCATCGGTCGGCTGCAACTCATCAAAACAGAAATTAGATATATAATATAGGTTACACAAGCCTTTTTTAAATTCCTGAAATTTCCCATTGCTATTGCCTGTGCTATTTCTGTATCTTTATTGGTATAGCCGGTATAACCGTCCTTCGGCGTAACACACCAGCAGGAAGGCGGCGAGGCGGCAGTTGGCTACATTGCACCGAACGCCTTGTTACACCTAACCCTTGAACATCTGGCACTAAACATAGTTTAAAGCTGTCTAATGATGATGATCCCACTGTACTTGGTGACAGCGAGTTCCACTCTGCGATTTCACCTCTTTTGTGCACAGCAGTCAAAGCAAACTGTACTTGTCAGAAGATTGGACACCAGACAAAGTGTTTTAGTGTCACTGGGCGACAGGATGTGACTAAGTAGCTAACCACTTTTAAGCCGGCAATTGGAGATTGTCATTTTAGGTAAAGGGCTGCCAATGCTGGCCTGCTATCTGTTGAGTCATGATAGACTAAAACATTCGGATGCATGTTACTTTCCTGTCCTTTTTAGGTTAAGTTATCCTAAATATAGATAACGTCAAAAGAAAGATTCCTTCGTTGATACTTACATTTATTCATTTGTTCCTTCGTTATTTCCTTCATTCGTTCATTTTGCCGCTCTTTCATTGATTTATCCCCTTTTCCCTTCATCTAGTCATTCGTTGCTTTTTTCGTTCTTTTTGTTCCTTCTTTCCCTCCTTTCATCCGTTTTTTCTCCTTCTCTACCTCCAGTCATTTATCTAACTATCCATACATTCATTCATCTATCCATTCATTTATTCCTCCACTCACTGGTTTGTTCACTTAAACATTCGTTCGTTCACTCTTTCATGAATTCATTCATGCATTCATTCAATCATCCATATTGCATATGACAGGAGTATAAGGATCCCACTCACTGGTCGGCCCCGACCGAAACGGTCATGCGCAGTTTCTGCACCACGATCCGCAGGATGTTGACAAACAGCAGGAAGTTGATCTGCAGAAAAGAGAAGAGCATTTAGAAACTCAGATTCGACTCTGTCCAAGACCCATTGCTGTTTCTATATCTGGTACAATCTGAACTAGAAAGGTAACATTAGCAAAGCAACTGCATGATGTTTACCTTCGCATATGGCCTGCTCTGTAAATTCTTACTCAAATCAAATACATTCATGTATATGGTAACAGGAGTCTAAATCCCTCCTGCTATAAAATTGCAACATGATGCAACCCAACACTAGTTACCATGGTGACAGACGTCTGCATCTGGTTCAGCTCATTCTACGACGACATTTCTATCTTTTTCCAATATTTTTTTTGTCCAACGTACGGTATATATTTGCTCATGTTGCAACTGGTTTGTACGACTTACAGTATGGTTGAAAACGTTTTTTTCAAAATTTCATGCGCGCGCGGATGTCATCCATATAATCAAATCAACATGGCCTTAGTAAGAATAGGAATGACGTTAGACTGTCTAGATATATACCCTAACCCGCTACCCCCATTAGATAAGCGCACAGTAGATAAATCTACTGCACTAAAGACGACACTTTTCGAAAGCTGAGGCCAGTTCTTGCGGGCAAACTGGATATATGCATTTCAATGACATACAGTAGACTTGGATCGCTGTTAGGCTAGTTCAGAGATACGTAGGTCTGTACTTTTGCCCCTCTAAGTGCCTTTGCCAAAAGAGCATTTCTAATATGTGCGTATGGCCTAAACTATACAAACAGTGTAACTGACCAAGATGGCGGCCACGATTGGTCCCCGGTAGATCCACAGGTATCCCGTTGTCGGTTCGCTGTAGTCCCAGCACCTAAGGTGGAACAGAAAATACAGGAAAAGTTTTTAGTTAAGTTTCCATATCATATGCCGTCACTTTTTTTTAGCCAATATTGTGCCAGTAAAGTATGTATTTATGTATGTATGTATGTATGTATGTTCAACTAGTTTCACGGCCCACCGCCATTTTGAAACTTTCAAAATAGCAGAGGGAATGTAACAGTAGGGCCATGGCATATTTCAAATAAAACGACTATTGAAAGAGAGCAAAATCCCATTCAAATAGCTAAAACATCAAATAAGTGTTTCAATGATTCAGCTATTACAGATTGAGAATCGCAAACCTACAACGACATTAAATGAATTAAAGAGTAACATAGCTACATATGATGTACTGTCGAGGTCATCTAAAGGTGACTATTTCCATAATTACACATGAAACAAACGTGTATAATTTTTTTACTATATCCGTGAAAAACGCCTAGAGTATGATTTAGTCACACTCTTTGGTCACATATCACATTAAAAGGCTTTTATATGGACTATTACATTGCGAGACTTTTTGTCATTGTCATATAGGATTAGTCATGGTCTAAGTCGTTAAAAGCAACATCTATCTCTTTGCCAAAAGCCAGCCGCCATGAAATTGCGTCCATCTATTTTATTACAGTTGACTTTGACGTTCAAGCATTACAGAGGAACATTGTACCTACCAAATGGTGTATAATATCGTATTATTGATCGAAACAGAAAAGAAGAGATAGGCATACGAAATAGTAGAAAATTGATTTGCTTGGTTGTATACTTACGTTCAACCTAGTTGTGTGTTCAAATTATGTACATTTTGTTTGATTTTGGACTATGACGAATACTTCTCGTAAATGTTTTATTAATTATACACACTCACTGTATCTTTTTACCCTAAGTCTGTGGAATTTTAGAGCTAAGGAGTCACAATTTTTTGTCTTAGATAGTTAACAATCAATAGTTCGTGCTTCTAAACCTGCATTTCTCCTGCAGTCTCTTAAGGTCAAGGTAGCTACCTGAAACGTCTGACCGTTTCCAAAATCATATCCAGTTGCTTGAGTAACTAGTTTTTGGCTTAGAAGTCACACTACAGCCATATCTCAAACCTAATACCCCATTTAATAACGCGTCCTTTCCCTTAGAGAAGTGACCCATGGGTGATGGATGGGTCATCAGGTTTTCTTGTAGTTGAATTATTGAGCAGTGCGTCGAACCTGACTCTCTGGCACCCCTACACGGCGCCATATGTGACAAACAGAAAAACAGCTTTGACTGGCTTGTACGTTCCTATCGACACCCAAGTCACAACGATTTGCCTGGATGGTAGACTGTTTCTGGAACATACACAGACCAGCTCCTCGGCTCCATGGATAACATGCTAGCCTGGATGCCAGACTGTTTCCAGGTCCTACATAGGCCAGCTCCTCGGCTCCACGGATAACATGCTAGCCTGGATGCCAGACTGTTTCTAGGGCCTACACATACCAGCTCCTCGGCTCCAGGGCTAACATGCCCCCAAGGAATTCTACCACAGCCCCCTCAGTTAGCCTGGGTGACATACTGCTTTCAGGGCCAACACAGGCCAATTCCTCTGCTCCAGGGCCCTCTTCGGCTCCGGGGGTAGCATGCTAGCATAGATGCCAGATTATTCCCATGGCCAACACAGCTCCTCGGCTCCAGGACCTACACAGGCCAGCTCCTCGGCTCCAGGGCCTACACAGACCGGTTCCTCGGCTCCAGGGCCTACACAGACCAGCTCCTAGGCTCCAGGGCCAACATGTCTCCAAGGAATACTTCCACAGTCCCCGCGTATCTTAGAACGCTGGCGAACTCGGGGTAGGGACATATATATGGGTAAAGCTGACGAAACTGGTATAGCCTGGCGTGCTGTGGGTATGGCATCCAGGCTACATCGCGATAGTTTTGATGGGGAAAAGTTCAGCTACATTCTGTAGTATCTGATTTGGAAGTATGTCAAACTCGCCCAGCACTAGGTCTATAAACAAACAAACAAACAAACAAACAAACTAGGTCTGTTGAAATCAACTCCACATATCAGCAACCGGAGATGGGCGCCTTTGGACCACCGGCTATTACGGTTAATTATACTGATATAGCTGATTGAATGGCGATAGATACGGGCATATGAAGCTATCATAAGCCATTATATCATAAGATTGGGACATATGAAGGTATTATAAGGCACTATATCATACGATAGGGAGATATGAAGATAATTTGAGCCAATTTATCATAAGATATAGTGGCTTATGATAGAATAAAGTAAAAAAGATTTAAAAAAACTCAATTTACCCGATATTGTCCAGGTAGGCCCGAGCCAGCACCCAAGGGATAACAAACGTCAGAGGAAAACCTGAAAAAAGACACATAAAAATCAAAATCAAAACGTGTTAGTTCTATATACATTAGATAGTTTGACATACTGGTGTATAATATGAACCTACTGAAAGTTATGAAAAGATTGTAAAAGTAAATTCTGCCATTGTAGTCTCTTATAGAGCAGTTCAGTTAAGCTCAAGAAATTGCTGTTTGCAGTGACAAAAATTGTCATACGCTGTTCCTCATACAATTGTTGTGAAATAAAGTCATTATCTATTATCTCACCAAATTTACGATCAAACTGTATCATACAATCATCTTAACAATCTTGAGTGCTTTAATGTAACGTTATATAAATCATTCAGATGGTATCTTGAAGCGCTCTGCCTTAGATATCATTCCGAATTCTGTCATAAATTGCAGACTGCGTCGCACAATCTGATGCAGATAATAGATCTTTAAATTTACGTTCGACAGAAAGTATCCATTAGTGCCCGCACTCTTAGACACTAATACACACTTCTTCACTTAAACTAAGTGGGTATTAATGTAAAATGCATTGAACCCATCTACGGTAATAAAGTAAGTGTTAAGTATTAGCTGAATATTACGTTCTCTTAGAATTCTACTCTTGGCTATTAAGAGCAAGGTAATATAAATTTCAATGATATCGAATGGTACTCTATTATCTTTTATTGCGGTGCCACTTTCGTTGAGCGGTTAGATAGGCATGCCGTGATATTTGATGAGCAAATCCTAATGGGGATTTTGTAATAAAGATGATATCAATTTTGCCGATGGGTTTTCACTTGGTTTCATAGCAGTGCTCGTGTCATCATTTGCATTTCAGTCATCTCAATCATCTTCTGACTCTATTATAATCCTTAATTCTCATTTTAAAGGATACCGTGCAATTGCAAGTACTTAAAAGCCCGTTGGTAGAAAACAAAAATGCTGTGTATATGTGAAATAAAATTCATTGAAATTCAAACAGGTCGCTGAATGATTGAATAGCGAATATCTTTCTTCACTACAACTTGTTTAACAAGAGCCGACGTTTCGATGAACGTCTGTCATCTTCATCAGGGATAGTAATATGACTGATTTACCGTGTACTGGAGCTAGGTGAGAGCACAGGGAATCTGTTAATTAGCCCTAATTAAAATGATCGACGGTCATCAAAACTGGCTTTTATGGTTGTGAATAAAGAGCATTGCTATTCAATCAACGGCTGTCAGCATTTGCCTGCTTTATTGATATGAAATGTGGGTAAAAACATGTAATAAATGAATTTTTATTGCATGTTCTTGCCCAGATGGGCTAAATGCAAGAATGTGACCAAATGTGGTCGAAAGGATAAAAACAAAAACATGTGTATTGCATACTGGAACGCTATATTCTAATGCTAGATGCTAGGAGTATATATAATTACAACAATACTATATACTACCTATCATCTACTGTTTAATACCACGTACCCCATCCAATAGCGATGAACCATCGCAAGAACTTCTTTTCGGAGAAGACGGAGATGAAGATGAGATTGTGAAGGTACAGTCCCTCCACCAGGACCCAGTAGTAGTTGGTGGCCATAAAGTACATGAACAGTGACATGGCCAGCTTACACGTCCACTGAAAATGGCAAGAGGAACATGACAAAAATGTACGGAATTTAAAATTCATTATCTACATTAAGTTTATCTAGCTCGTCATAAATTTTACAATAAGGGTCTTTCATTCATTTATCTAAAAGTACGACGTTCTTTCTATCTTTAAATCTACAAGAGATCTTTCTGGTGAGTTATTTTCATGTCTTGAGTTTGAATTGGAAAACAGTTCAATTTTCATTATCTACAAGAGATATTGACGACATATTCCTGTGGCCATTACAGAAATTCCTGTGAAGCCTCTAGAAACCGGGAAGACTGAGAGATACTATCATGCTCATTGTTTACGATTACGAGGTATACGGGGTTTTCCTTCACTTGCGGATGCTTGAATGAATGAAAGGTTTAATCGTCAAAAACACATGGCAGCCACAGGCTGAATTGCGTGTTTTACAGTAATGACAGATTTAAAAAAAAAACACTAAAAAGTACTTACTTGACCACATTAAAAGTAATAAGGGAAGTGATTTTAAAACCTACATTATATATATATATATATACAAATCGGATATATACAAGTCTCAGCGTTCCATGATAATACGTGCTGTTTGCTATCACTGTTACTGCTTGTTTAAAAGGTGGGTCATATAATGCTATGATGGTGAAACCTGCTGAGGAAAGTTTGCGGTGAATGCGATCCAACACATCAATCTTGTACCAATACAATGGCATATATTAGTCGACCGACCGACAGACGGGCATATATGTTATATAGACGAACAATTCTCCATCGGTTGCACATACAAGTATCAGCACTCGATCATGCCCGTAGCCAGGATTTTGAATGGGGGGGGGGTTTCTTCCCACT